TCGATGCACTTCACTCGATGTACCGTGCACTTGACTCGATGCACTTCACTGGATGTACTTCACTCTGATGTACTTCACTCTGTGTACTATGCACTTGACTCTGATGTACGGCACTCTGTGTACTATACTCTGTGTACTATGCCTGTACACTTGACTCTGTGTGCTTGATCCTATGTACTTCTCTAAAGGGCTTCGCACGGAAGAACCCTTCGCAATGCTTTCGGGAAAACAGAGTCTGTGCTGATGAGCTCGGCCGAACGTCAACCAAAAAAGTGCGATACTGGCTGATCCAAGTCGCCAGCTCCAAGGAGGGATGAGGCACGGACATCAAGAACCTGAAGGAGCTTGACACGCCGGAACCACGGGTACCAGACCCTCTTTTGCCACTGTTCACGATTTGCATCAAGCACAAGTGCAAACCTGTAACATTGGCTTTGGACATGGTCGTACGAGGCAGCAAGACGGCCATTCAGACAAGAAACAGATTGGGAAGGAACACGGAGGCTCTGTATGTTGGAGGCGATGTGTTCTGCCGCAGAATCCCGCGGCCGATGCGCCCACCTCCAACGGTCGCTAGTGAAGGTTGTGGCCAGGTTGTTGCTGATCTGCAAGCTGCGTCGAATCTGTAGACGAAGAAACCTTCCACCTTTAAGACCCCAATCTCCAGCACATGCCGCCAACGCCCAAAACCCTGCACAAACCGCGCATACAACCGAGCCACGCAAAGACATTCTGAAGCGAGAACTCTCATTACTAACGCGGTCGTATCGAAACCCATCTATGCCACTCCAACCCTAAACCCCCAACCCTATTCAAAAGGGAGATGCGTGTGCCTGAAGCTTTCCAACAATAGACATCATCTTCGGGATGCACATGTACCAAGGGATAACTGCTCCCAGCTCCGGGAATAGGAACATGGCGGCTTAGAAGTTCGCGAGACTGCAGGTGACGTAAGATCTCCGAGCAGTCTTGGCCTGCTGCCCCGCTTGCATCAGCCAGTGCCAAGTTGTTGGACGAAGCAGACTCAGATCGTGGCAGCTTTTCTCAAAAGAACCAGCTGGCCATGGCTTACCCGATTCTCATGCAAGCAAGGACCTGAGGCTGCTCGGGCAGGATCTCGGGCTCCTGGACAGGTTGTGTCGTCTGGTTTGAGCACCATGTCCATCCTTCACAGCTAGATGGTATTCGTCTTATCCAGCTTTCTGGAACATGCCGAATCATCATGCCATTATCGTGCTGTGATGTTTGCCAGCAGCTTCCAAGCCATCCCTTGATTGTATCATCGGTGCTTCTCATGTCAGCTGGGGATCTGGCTCAGGTCCGAAGCTTCAATAAGGCCAATAATCTGGAATTCCCAAAAACACGACACTGACGAATGAACGGAGCAAGCATATAGACAAGTTCGACGGGGCATGGCTACGGCTACGGGTTCCATGGCCAGCAGATGCACTGGTGGCAGGGACACTATACGCGTTCGGGCATGGATGACCTCGCCACGCATGCTGCTTGTGGCATGGATCCCTGCAGAACGCGGGGGCTACAACATTGTTGGCAATGTTCAACAATGACAATGTTCTACCAGGGGACCTCGGGGGCCTCGCCTCACTTCCGGTCGCTTCCGCACACCTCGCGGACTCCCTCGTTGTCAGGTCTGTTCTGCTAGTAGAAGTTCAGACCTATGAAGGTGCCGTGCATGTCCCAGCCGGCATTCGATCGGCTGGAGTATTTCACAGATTTTACAGTTATGTAGACTGACTGGCATGGCACCCCAAGGATCTCAACGTGCGGTACGCACACCGGGCACCCATGCCTGCTTCATGAAAGTCATCAGTGCCTGCTGGACCTGCAAGAAGGGCTCAGCTTCCGCTCTTCACATGGCCAGCCGAAGAACATGCTTGCCTCTGTCGGTAGATTTTGCAATGCTTCGCGACGCGCTTCGCGCGTCAGAGTCGCCAGAAGCTGTCGAAGCTGTGCCAGTGCACGATGGCTGGCCGGGGCCTCCGAAGGCTGAAGTCACCATGTCATTCTGAGTTCGGGCTCGGGACAGGTTCATGACATGTCGCCTTGGCCTTTTGTGCGATGTCTTGACAACGACCGCGGCCTGCTGAAAGCATATGGAACCTTGAAGTTCAAAGGGAATGATAGGAGGCCAGCCTGTGGCGGCTGCCAGTGCATCTTTGGGCAGCAGGCCACGATCGCGGGCAGCATCGTAGGTCTGGCGGGTGCTCCTCTGGAAATCCAGAAACGTATAGTATACTAAGTGATGGCTCACAAGTTTTGAAGTCAGACAGGCCATGTCAACTGCCAACAGAGTCCTACCGACGTGCGGATCAAGGGGTGCAGCTGCGAAGTTAGTCGGATGCCCAAGCCCGAATGCACCCGCTCCTAGATGAGAGCACCTCGAACGCCGTCAGGACCGCGTGAAAGAGATCCTGCTTAACGCGCAGCCGCATGATGTCCGACACGAAGGAATCTGGAGCTGACCGTCCTCGCTGCCACCCTTGTCTGGGTGGACCTGGAGAGCACGTCTTCGATACGATGACCGTATTTCCTGCTCCAGGGCATCTCTTTGGATGCCCAGCAACTCGTAGAGGTCCTCGATCATGCCAGAGACTCTCAACAAGGTATCAAGAGGCATGCTTCAACAAGACAACAGTCAGCATTTTTGTTCCATCGCTCCGTCCTGCTGTGCCATGGGATCGACACGTGGCACAAGCGTGGAGCATCGTGGAGCATCCGTTCATCCATACATAGATGCATACCTACCTGCATGCATATGTCTATACGTATATATATATATACACACACACATATATACATATACCGATATATATATATATAGATACACACATACATACATACATACATACATACATACATACATACATACATAGGTATTTATATAGCCTATAGATGCAGTTTGATATGCACATGCGTAAAACATGTACAAACGCACAATATATGGATATAGCAAGAAAGACAATTTAAATAAGTGCAGTAAAGGTGTGCAGAGGCTGTATGTCTGGGTCGAGCCTGGATTGAGGATGGTATCATAGTCAATCGTCGTCAGAAATAGGCAATTGCAAAGTTGCTGTCCAGCCGAAGGCTTTGGTTGCCCTGGCCCTAGCCTAGCTCTTTTTGCCTTGCCCGATTTCCGGGACACAGCTGTGTCTCGACCTGCTGGCTCGACGTAGCCCCTGAGCGAGGTTTGCGTTGCGATGCCTTCAGCTTCGCATGCCCCCCCCCGTCATTGTTACAGTAACAGCTGCCTGGCACAAATGCTTTGCAATGGCACAGGTGCACATTGGTTTCCCTCTGATCGCGCATCTCGCCGACATGGCCAAACTGCATGTGTGGCGGCCATCACAAATCCAGCGAGTCGCAGAGTCCACTGCCCGAAACCGTTGTATGTCCAGAAGTCCGAGGCTGCACGAAGCCAATCATGATCATTCATGATCCATCTGCCACGGTGGTCTTCACTTGCCTTATTGGCTGGTACTGCGATGTACTGCGCCTGCTCGGATTTGCAAGAGAGAGGAGAGAGGTCAGTCTTCCAACAGGAGTTTGACATGCTTCGCGGGCTCGAACAATGGCATGGTGTAACCTCGGCATGCTGGTATCGGACTTGCTGCACTAGCTGTGCTTCCTGCTGTGTCATCGTCCAATCCAAACCTGAGTCATTTGGAAGCCGAGAAGCGCCATCGATGCTCATCCCATGCGGCCAGAAACGGCAGCACACCGACATCGCAGACTGAACTTCTCAGCCCTCGCCCGGCACAGCGCTTGTCCTTGTGCTTTTTCTGCCCCACATACCTGGAGACAGTCTTGCAGTCGTTCTGCACGCGCGGGCAACAAAAACGTAGACAACGAAGGGGCGCACCATCTTCCATCATCGCATTGGTACAACCAAGCATCAGCTTCGGTCTTGCAGAATGTGGGAAGCCTGCAAGCTGGTGGACTGCTGGTTGCTATCTATTGAAAGATCTGTACTGGATAGAAGCGTATCACCTGACAAATCAAGTTCACCCTTGGCTGCCTGGTAGGGCATGAGGAGTGCACCTGCCGAAAATAAGTCCCATTCCAGTTGTCTGCTGCAGCGCCAGAAACCTGCACAGCCGCCGGTGCAGCAATCACGGCAGCCTTGCAGATTCTCAGCTCAGGCCCAGGGATTGACGACACTCTGCAAGCTTTTGTGCGGACATAACCGCCGTAAAGAGATGACTTCTCTTCCCAGGCATCGATCTCACCCGGAAGCGTTCCAGCAGCACATGTGCTGCTCCGAAGAAGTCCCCGAGATGCCCAAAGGTTCATGTCATCGGCATCCCCACCTGCATACCATCGCCGATCACTTGCAAAATACAGCCAGCACTTTGCCGTCCGGTGTTTGAATACCGGCGACCCATCGGACTCCCTCCTGCCAGCATGCTTAATCATTAATCTCTATCTGCCCCAGTGTAGGCTTCAAAGACCTAAGAGCACGATGTAAGGTCGAATCAACCGTGCTTGAGCGACATGCGCCGCGGTAGCGGCATCAACATTTTGACGATCTTTCTTGTGGTCCTGCAGTGCTGGAGCTCGTAGCAGCCGTTCGCATCGCCGCATCTTGCCCCACTGATCTCAACAGCTGCTGCCGCAGACCAGACGTCTTTGCACCATGACCAGTCGTCAGAAGCTAGACGTACCAACCTGGTAGCGTGATGTACCGTGACACAAAGCGGCATGACTGAACTCCATCCAGCCCCTGTGCACTTCCAGGCTGCCTGGCGCTCGAAGCTGTGAAAGAAGGCCTCTTGCTGCCCGATCGCAAATCACGCATGTCACGGACCTCCCAGCTCGAAATGTCGACGGGCAGAGTGCCTACCTTGCACTCTCCGCTGCGAAATCGATGGCCAGGCAGATTTTGTGCTGCAGCTGAACCACCGCCGAAATGCCAACGGCCATCGATGGCATAGTAGAGCCACACATCCTTGCCTCTCTGACGAAATTTCGGGGCTTGCCCGTCCTCACTTGTAAGCAGATCGTACAGAGCATTGACTTCCTCAGCGTCATGGCCGACTCTGAACGAGAGACAGTGAACAGGACGAAGCCGCCAAGACTGTACGACTCTAGGAAGACCCAGTGACCCAACATGTGACAGGCCACAACATGGGTAAATATTCGGGCAAGACGTAATGATAGCGAGACCACTCTGTCCCGAGTCTTATATGGTTGTTTGCTTTACAAGCAGTGATGCTGGTGTCGCCCCAAGCCCCATTGACTGGCCTGCAGACTGATTCAAGCTTCGGTTCGATTCGGCCTCCGCGCTCCGCAATTACAGCACATATTAATATATTAGCAGTAGATCCATACTTTCAGCAAGTCTCAGAGATTCGCAATTTGTCACATGTATAGCATGGCACGCGCCCGAAGACTGGGCAGCTTTCCACGCAGCCTGACACTCCTCCAAGAACTCGCATCCTTATTGGAGCATTGGCATTCGATGTTAACGTCTACTCGCCACTGACTGCCTACTCTTTGTGAAAGGGCTGTTGACAAGCTGACAAGCCACGCACCCTCGCCGGCGAGGACTTAAAGCCAAAGACGCGACCAAACAGCAATACTCGCTCTTCCCACGGAGCGCTGTCCGGGGGAGGGAGGCTGCTGCCATTGCACACAGGGCCTCGCAATTGGCGATGCAGCAGTCGTGCCTTGCTCAGATAATTTCTCACTATCGAATCTGCTGGGAAGGCACTCCGCAAAGCAGTGGCGAGATGCCCCACATTCTTGCTGAAGGAGCTGCCGAAATGCCAGCGCGAGTCGGCAGCGTAATACAGCCTGAATGTGTTTGGGAAAATGCAACTCGTCAACAAACCTGGATTCAGAAGTTCAACTGGGGATTGAGCCAGTGAGAAGCAGGTGCAGCGCGATCTTTAAACGCACCGAAAGCACCTGGTTCCTGAGAGTGGCCGTGGCCGGATGTGGCCGGCAAGCTTAAGAAACTGCAGCCTAACATCGTCGTCTGCTGGTTTCAGAATTTTGACCGATGTGACTGACTTCCGTGCTCATACAGCTCTTCCAGCTTGTTGCCAAATCACAGCCAAGCGGCGTGTCTGTACGTCCGATTGAGGCATTCTAACTCGCAACCAGAGATTTGGACCGATGATACGTCTTCGAGCCTCTTGCCCATGGCACACATCTGTCGAAGAACATTGGGGACCAGGCACCTTCAGCCCAAATTCTTCATTGCCACATGGCTAGCAACTTGGTGCCAGTGTTCCCTGCTGGTCTGGCTGAGAATGCAAAGGCAGGGGAGGACGGCTTTTCATCCCACAGGAGCCAACACATGCACAGCATTGCTGAGATGCTCCGAGATGCTCAAACCATCTCAGACGGTATCCTGGCATCCTTCACTACTCACTCACTGGCTGCTCTGGCTACCTGCGGCCACCTGCATGCAGAGAGAGAGAGAGAGAGAGAGAGCTTGCGAGTGGTCCATGCCAGCGACTTGGCGAAGTGTTCTCGGCTTTCGACCTCCATTTCAGGCGCAGCTTTTCGGCCCTCCTTCTGCGGTCTGCGCTTCTTCCTGGCAATTACAAGCCGCCGAGTACATGCTGGCCGTAAGAAGAGAACGCATCAAACTAAGCAGGTCTGACCGCAACGTTCCTTAGACCGGGTTCAGTGTGAAAGCGACCAACAGAACGGAACGACGAGGCTCGACATTTTGGTTTCTCAGCTGATTGTCTGTCTTGCTACTGTTGATGGAGGAAATCTTGCACCAGCTTGGGTGGACCAACAATGCGAGTACCACCCCTGTTTCACATTGACGTCCAGTCCTGGGAAGGGCCGTGGGTTCCACTCACAAAAATCTTGCACCAGGCACATGGCACACTATCATCAATATTCAACAGGGGGTCCGGGGTTTTGGTGATCGGCGATATCAGGAGTCAGCATCTGGGCGGTGCAAGATTTCCTCCATCCACCGAATCATTTCATTTCAACCCAAAAAGCTTCAGCCCACACATCGGAAGATCAACAGACTCGGAAGATCGATCTCTTTTTGCTGGATGCTGGGAAGCCACCTTTGATGACTGAACGCGGCTTCTTCTCAAGCTCAGCAGCTCTCTTCTTGAGGCCCTGAGCAGCGGCATGAACGAGGACCGGACAGAAACACAGCACAGCCACAGCCTTGAGCTTGGTTCCGATGACTTGGCCAGGACCGGAGGATTTGAGGCCTATTCAACTCTTGCCCCGTCCGCCATCATCCCCCATCCGACACACAGCATGTGGTAAGATCCGCACTGATTTCGCGTCTCTCATTCATAGGAGCGCTGCCTGAGGGGACGCAGACACCTACTGTTTCTGAAGCCGCAGCGAACCGACATGAATATGTTCACGTGGACAGACTCGTGCATGTCTGTCCTGGGACCTGTCAGTCTTGCAGAAATAGGTAGGTGTCTGGGAAGCAGGCCAAGCTTCTTCCTCAGTCCCTCGAGGTGGGCTTGAAGATCCTGCAAGCTGAGCAGGGCTGTCCGCCGTGGAAGTCGCCAAAATGTTCAACGCACCTCCTCGTACGCCGCCAACTCGCCTGGCCCTGGCTTCTCCAAGCCCTTGCCGGTGTTCGCCACTTGTCCTCACAACCCTAAACCCACCTTCAAATCTCAGCTCCACCCAGGCCTGACGGAAGTCGCAGGACTAAGGCCCGCTCGCGACGACGCTTTCTGGAACAGCTTGTTGCTTCGCATGTATGCCTGCGAAGAACTATGCAGCGGCATGGGTTTTGATGCATACCACCCCTCAACCACTCACACTTCCAAGCTGGAATGGCTTTAAGGACCATAGCCATCGACATAAACATACCGCAGACACAAGCTGGATCAAGCTGGCAATCTTCACCAGCTCTGGCAAGCGAAGAAAACGTCCGGAAGTTCAAGGCCGGCGAAGGCAGGGCAGGGCGCAGGCAGGGCGCAGGCAGGGCGCAGGCAGGGCGCAGGCAGGGCGCAGTGAGCTCCAAAGCAAAGGAACGGAACTTCATCCACGAAGTGAATCAGTCGTCCATCTCTGCGAACATCGGAGAAGTAACAAGACGAATCAGACATGCTCAGATTGCTCATACGTACATATGAGCTATATAACCCATGTGCAAAACTCTTAGTTGTAGCTGCGTGGGTAAGGAAACATGCAGCACAGGAAGCTGTACCTATATGAATCTGTTTGTGTATGTGTATATATATATATATACATGTGTATATATACATATATATGTGTATATACATATACATATATATATATATGGGTAGTTCTCTAAGTTAGGGTCCCTTTTAGGGTCCTTTTTGTGAGTCTGCCGGTCATATATTGGGGACTCAAACGCACCCTAATTTTAGAGAACTGCCCATATTTTCTTTTGAATCCGCCTCGGCGCAGCCGAACGTCTAGAGGTTCCCCTCGCTCTGGCGGGCCCCTTCTCCGTCGCCCTGCTCCCGGATCTGCTGGGTCGAGGCGACGGGCACGGAGCGTCAACAAACATACATGATCAATTATGCATTTTGTATACACACACTTATGACATCAACGTGGTCGGCAAGTGTGCCGAAACGCACGACTGCACCACAATGCCGCAGAGACACTCTCGCAAAACAGACTGTTTTCTGCGAGTCATCCACTACGTGCAGCCGGCACATCGATCGCATCGAAATTCCCAGAAACGTGCCGCTACGTATTTAACATGCTACTATACGTCACCCAGGCGGCCGCACAAAACCATGCGCCACAGTACTCGGCGTCGTCCTCGTAATAGACGTCGTCGCAATACTAATCATGTTAGCAGCAGCAGGTCGGCAGGTCGGCAGGTCGACAAGTTGTTTCGGTAAGGGTCGGTAGAGGTCGGCTAGGGCAGGTCGGTCGGCCGGCAGGCAGAGTATGGTAGGTTGTGTCAGGAGTAATCGCAGTGCACAAGGTGGAGGTTAAACTGTGTATTGCACATTGTACCAGAATTCATAGATAGACAGATAGACAGACAGACAGACAGACGGAAAGATAGATAGATAGACAGATGGATAG